TACCCAGGAATGCGGTTCTGATGGCACTGTGGCCTCACTGAGCTCCTGAGGTGTTGTGCATTCTTTGATTGCACTGGCCCTTAGTTCCTACCCCTCCACCGAGAGCGGGATTTACTAAGGAGAGGGTGAGCACGAGATCAGTGGAGACTAGAGGAGAGGTGTATCCACAGAGAGGGGCCCATCGTCCAGTCTGTGCTGAGCCATCCAGTGGCAGAGGCGCGTGATCAGACCAATCTTGGCATCAGTATCCTGCTGGAAGCATAATGAGCCGGGCTCCATAGATGAGGTTGTGGGGCTCACCAGGAAGTAGAGTCCCTTGATCAGGTTCAACACAGCCAAGAACGAGGGAGGTCAGCATTCCTACTGTCCCTTCCTAGCAGTCGGGTGGTCACAGAGGATTTGGTCCAGACAAGTAGCAAAGTGGAAGACTCACACCAAGGTGCTTTGGCCCTGAATCACAGTGAGTGTGTTACTTAAGTAGCCAAGGTTCCTTTCCCCATAGGACTCATTAGGTCACTCCCAGGGGCTCCACTTGGCTGGGACAGGCAGAGCAAGGGATGCAATCCCACAACTACCCTAGTCCTAGATGCCAAAGCAGACATGCTAGGCCTCCACAGCTACTTTCAGGAAGACTCCCCTTGGATCAGCTGGCCGAGTAGGGTGTCTCAGCATTGGCCTCTGCTGACCCCAGAAATAGCCCCTGGGAAAGGTGCTTCCCACTCACAAGTCCAGACACAGCTCTTCCCCAGGATCTATGATCTTGGAACAAAAAGGTTCCTGGCCCCGGGGAACCTCCCACCTTTGCCACCCACCACTCTGAGCCCTTGGGAGACACTGTGCCTTACTCAGGACAGTCAGTAGGCCATGTTCTTCCACCCCCACACTCTCTCTGTTCCCAATCCCTGGGTCACGACCCAGGACCAGGAGAAAGTCGTGCTGGGGTGGGGCCTTTGAGAAATATAAATGGCCTCTGAAGTCCTGGCCAGAAACCCTTTGCTGCGTCGCTTTGTACCTGCCCAGCACCATGGTAATGTCCGGTGGCCCCGGAACCCTGTCACCGGTGTGATCCGGAAGCTTGGGAACGGAGGCTGGCACCAAGGGCCCCTCCACAGGCCCTTTAAGGGGGTGATGAAGGGAAGCCATTCTGGTGGTCAGAACCGCTGTCATAGAGTTTCTTGTCCCTGCTTCAAGTGTGCAGATGAGGGGAATTCTGGTTAAGATAGATTTCAGGGGCTCAGGGGTCCAAAGGAAGAGTCCTATTTGGGGTACCATAGTCTTTCTCTCTGTTGTGTGTGTGTGTGTTTCTGTATGTGACTGGGGATGGAGGGAATTACTGGGCTAGCACTCCAGTGTGCAACTATGCTACTCATTTAATGTGTTAAATGCCAGGCCCAGGTCTCAGTGGCAGGCAGTACTACATCAGAGAAAGCAAGTAAAGAGCCCACCTGCAGTGTAGTGGGAGGAGGTGGAGCTGGGAAGAGGTTCAGCCATTAGTTACAAATTACTATAGAATGCAGCAAGAAGTGGCCATGGCAGAGGCAGCCCAAGGTAAGAGTGGGTGACAATTTTATATAGGGTGTCAGGGCTAGACCTACTGGAGTGTCGAGCTGACGCTTGAAGCTGAGCTGGCCCTGCAGACGTCTGGAGGACCAGGCTTCCAGGCAGACAGCAGCATGTCTAGGGTTTCTGAGGAGCACCTAAGGAGGTGGAAAGGCTGGAGTGGGGAGCACGAGGAATTTGCCGCAGAAGTCTGTAAGGTCAGGGACCTGACCGGCAACTCTAGATCTTGTATACTTGTTAGACCGGGTCTCCTGTCCATTTTTGTCTCAGTACTTTAGGGTTATTGTGTGCACATCCAGGCGTTTCCTAGTCTCCCTGGGAACCAGGATTCCCTAAAAGCTCTGTGTATACCACGGGCAGCTACATCTCCTGGTCCGAGCTTCGCCACACTCCCGGCTTTCCCAACAAAAGGAGTGTGGCCCCGCGATTCAGTGCGGATACAACCAGGTCCCACCGCCACCGCACTCCACCTCCCCTTCCTTCACAGGGTCACCTGACCGTGCTATCTGCCCCGCCCCCCTACAGACAGTGTCTCTACATTGCGCGTGCGCACTGGCTCTGGGATGCCTAGCGGCTCTCCTGGTGCCATCCGATGGCGTCTTGGGCAAGGAGGTCCAACTGCAGCCGTCTCCCGAGCCCAGAGTGGCCAGATGGTTCACAAACATCAACAAGTACATAGAGAAGCTCTTCAACAACAGGTGAGCTGGCGGAAGAATGGGGGAAGGAGGACCTAGCACCCCACTCACTTCTCGGCCCCGTGATCTCTGCAATGACGTGTTCCCTAGATCGAAGAAACCCCCAAAACACAAGAAACCTTCCAACTCTACCAAATCTCCCCCACCGAGCGCCACAGTACATCCACATTTGAACATCACGAACCCCACCACCGCAAAACACCAGCCAACCCCAAGTACTGGAACCACTCGGGCTCCAGCTAAGCCTCCTCCCTTGACTCCAGGTAGGCAAGTGGCGCAATCAGCAGAGGCCTCCACCCATATCCTTGGGCAGGCGGGTAGGAGAGAGAGGGAAACTCTCTCCTCGGGATGGGGACGTGAAAGGAGTACGCCAGGGCCAGGGGTGTTCCTCTCCAGCCTGGACCCTGACCTCCAGAGCCCTGGCCGGAATTTGTCTACCCACGGACCCCTTTAGACTGTGAGATGGACCTCTGTTCCTCCCTGCCCACGCAGCATGGACAATAAAAAAAAAATAGTGGAACTGACAAGATGTCGGGGTGGGGTAAAGGCACTTGCCCCTAAGCCTGTCGGCCAGAGTTCCATTCCCGATCCCATAGGATGGAAGAAAGGATACATGTACCATGGCTTGTGTGTACACACACATCATACAAACCACAGTAACAATAAAGGAATGGATAAATCAATAAATTCCTAAAATGACTCTCTATTGCTTCTGTGGTTTCTGTGGACGCCGGCAGGAAGGGGCCCTTTCGTGCTGAAGGGGACCCCATAATGCCTCCTGTGAGATCTTGGATTGTCTGCATCGCTCTGCAGCCCACCCACTCACCCTCCACCACCTCACTGCAGCCACCTCTCCCAGCGTTCCAGGCCATGACTCAGAGAGAGAGAGAGAGAGAGAGAGAGAAAAAATAAAAAGAATTGATCCTAGCAACTTCAAAACAGAGCCTTCAGCCAGACCTGCTCCCTGCCAAAGGCCTCCCTACCACATGACAGGTTGGGAGGGTAATCTGGCCTGTGAGGGTACTATAAAAGCACAGAGGGGTGTAGAGTCTAGGGGACCTCGCCCCTCCTGAACCTGGTAGAGCCTGTTGCTGCAGCCGAATCACCAGAGCGTTCTGGTCACGGGTACACAGCCCTTCCCATACCCTTTCAGCTACCAAACCCAGGTGTGTGGGGAACAGGTTCCGAATTTCCACCTCTATGGCTGTTTCTCTTTCCCGGTAGAACCCATGCCAGGCTGGAGAGATGGCTCAGAGTTTAAGAGCACTGGCTGCTCTTCCAGAGACTCCAGAGAGGCCAAGCACATGCATGGTGTCTCACAACCATCTGAAACTCTAGTTCCAGGATATCTGAAATCCTCCTCTGGCCTCCAAAGGCTCCAGGCGCACACGTGATGAGCAGACACTCCTGCAGGCAAAGCACCCACACATAGAATAAAACTAGAAGTCATCACCTAAGCTACCAAAGAAGGTACTGGAACTTCAGGCTCCAGCAGTCACATTTAACCCCTGCTCTCCTGCAGAAACCACCCTATCCCCTAGCTAGACACTCCTTGGATTTAAGAATCAACTTAAGTCAGACATTTGCAGTATAGCTGCATCCTGTACAAGCCTTTGGTCCTTTAGGGCAGGTTCTGCCTCCAGGTCACTCCACTCAATATATAGAAACACAGTTGCAATGTCCTTGCTATGAGATCAATGCCAAACACTGAGCCTGGCAAAGACAACTTTCATCCCCCAAGCCTATCACCCCCAGCCCCTCGCTCTCTCTCTCTCTCTCTCTCTCTCTCTCTCTCTCTCTCTCTCTCTCACTTTGCATAAACACACACCACCACCACACCATCTTCACCTTTTCAGGATGCCTGGTACAGGTAGACAGTCTACAGGGACTCTTCAGGTAGTATCTGAGTCTTCCCTCCTTGTCCCAGGAACCAAAATGTGGATGCCATAGGTTGGACCCATGGAGGCGGTCAGCATGCTTGACTCTGTCTCCACCCTGGGGGCACAACCCCCTGCAGCTTTTCTCCCAGAAGCAGCTAGAATTCATTCTCAGGCTCTCAGCTCATGACCTCTCAGAATAGCCCCTTCCTTCCAGATTCCTAAAGAACAGTTCAAAGCAGGCAACCGAATGACTGCCGGCCAGCACTAGTCCTCGGGCTGCTCCTTCCCCATGCCAAGGGCATTTTAATAGAAATGATTCTTCCCTTACTGCTCAAGTTATAGAAAGCAGTCTTGGGGGTACATGTGGGGACAGGGTTGGTCTCGGGCTGAAGAGCTGGATGGTTTGGAGGTACTGGGTTCGGAGGATTAAGCTCAAGACTGCCGTGTTACAGACCTGCAAGGAAGTACAACTTGGCCCCTCTGTGAAAATGATGAGCTGAGCCCCTACAGACACTAATGATCATCCTAGCTCCCCTTTCCCGCTCAGCCTCCCTGCCTGTAGATTTTACCTTCTCCTGCCGCTGTGGGTGTACACACCACACACACACCACAGACACACCACACAGAGAGGATGTAATTTTTAATTTGCTTTATTTAGTTTGAAAGGTAGCACGTTGTTGTGGGAGTGCAGAGGGATGAGCTGGACCGGTGCTGTCCTACACTCACAGACAGGAAACAAGCAGAACCCCACGGGTCTGTTGGGCTGAGCTCCCTGCAAGGAAAGAAATGAACAGTGAGAAAGGACAGCCCTTGTCCTCTGAGACTCAGTTTTCCTTTCCCCTCCTCCAGATGCCCACTTTCCAGACCTGCCCTTAGTTCCAGGGAGCTGAACAGGGAGTCAAGCCAACCAGGGGGCTGGTGCACAGGGGAAGCTGCATTCCAGGAAGTCCAGCTGTGTTCACCTCTTCCCTCTTCCCATACCTGGTAAGGAAGACAGTTGGGATAAGCGTGGTACCCTGGTGGCTTGTAGCCCTTCTTTAGACACTGTCCTGCCTGCAGCACAAGGACCCAAGCCACTCGGTAGAAATATTGTTTTCTCAGAGAAGGCATAGAAGGGACTGAGACTAGGGTTGGGATTTCTCTCTCTCTCTCTCTCTCTCTCTCTCTCTCTCTCTCTCTCTCTTTCACACACACACACTCACACGCACCCTACCTAGGCCTGGTTTGCGTATTGATGTATCTGCGGAGCTGAGTTGTATATTGGGCCATCTGCTCTGGTGTAGCATAGTCCCCTGGGTACACTGGTTCCAATGGGGCTCCCCAGGCACCCTGCAGGGGCTGCAGCAGCAGAGCCACCCAAGTGGACAGGAGAAACAGGGAGAGGCAGCAGTGTGCGGTGGCCATCTGAGGAACAAGGAACAGAGTAGAGGCAGATTCATCTGCAGATTCTGCTATGTCCCGGACCTACCTGGCCAGCCACTGCCCACCGCACATTTTTCAAGCCAAGCCTGGGGACAAGGGCAGACGAAGGAGCCACCAGCATCCACCACCTTCCTCCCCTGGAAAGCAAGGACATCTACACATACACACCCCCTCAACGATCAGGTCAGCTGCCAAAGGTTAGCCCTGGGCCTGGGAAACATAAAAAGCAAAGCAAAGAAAGTGGGCATGAGAACTGGACACACAGGACTTATGACACTGATGGTTCTGAGGATGCAGGAATAACCAGGGCTGGTGGGAAACACAGGGTAAGGAGCGCAGAATTTACTTGAAATGAAAAGGAACAAAAGTCTACAACACTGTGGGTCCAGCCTTCCATGGACACATTCGTACAGATGTAGAGAGAGACCCAGAAAGGACCTTAGGCCTCTTGAGAGCCCCAATCCTACAAAGCACCAATTCTTACCCTCCGATCCTAGCGTCAACCCAAGAGGTCCCCAGAGGCAGGGCAGGATGAGCCCACTTACCTTGTGTCTTGAGCAAGGGGGTGCTGGACTGCGCAGACACCTACCTCCTTCTGGACTGGTCTCCCTGCACATGGCTGTTCCCCTTTATAGTCCTCGGCACCCCCAGAGTCCCCGCCTCCTGTCAGCCTTTCTCACTGCCAGCCTTCAACCCCATGACGCTGTGTCCCTGGTACCTGCGACACGGGCATTGCGGCCAGAAAGAGGAGGGTGCCCGGGCAATAGTCTCAGTGCCAGGGCAATATTCTCGGGGTCAGAGCAGCACGGGGTGAATGAAACGGGACCACGACAAGGATCTCCCGTGGGGTCTGTATCCAGCTTTGGGCACCAGAATGTAAATGACAGAGTCCTGACATGGTAACCCAAAGGTTTTAGTGGTTGGCCTGCATCCAGCCTCCCCAGGGACAACCCCAGTCACCAAGAGCATTTCCTCAGGGCTCAGATTGAGGTTGCAGCTCCAGGCTCCATCCCCAGCACGAAAGATGGAAGTCAGGCCTTCCCTCCCAGTGGACAGCTAGAATAAGGAGGGGACAGTGGAGTCTCGGGTTCTCAAGTCACTGGGAAAGGAGTAGAGACATCCATTTGGTGCCTGCATAGGATGCCAACCAAGATCTGGTGGGCCACAGTTCAGGAAACACAGGGTTCATGGGGAAGGGATAATTTATGGTAGCTATTTCCTGTCCCACCCCAGAGCTCTGTCCCAGGGGAGGGCTAAAAACCGGCAACACTTATAAGATTCAAGTTATGAAAAAAAACAAAAACAAACAAAAAAAACCACTTTGTCGTCCCACTGAACCCCTGCCAGGCCCTACTTGGCAAACAAGAAAAACAAGGAGAAGAAAAGAAGGAAGGAAGGAAG